TTTCAAACCCGCATCTGAGACCACTGCAGCGCGTGTGGGGGAGGGGGGGGTACGGTGCACGATGGTGTGTCTTCTGAATGAAAGAAAACGATTTAACACAGTTGTTTATAATTTTAGCAGCTCTTTTTTATTCCACAGCTGACCTGCTAAAAATGACAGATTTTCTTTTCTGGATCTCTGACAGACGGACTTCAATCTCTGAACTCGTAAAGTTCTTCTTTTTAGTTTTCACTGTCATTTTCAAAAATGGACACTTCCTGGTATCTGAGGTAGGAAACATAGCCTTATATGGTGTTTTTGGGGTGGTAATTATGCTAATCTCCTCTCGCATGCACGAGCAGCTGGATACGAACAGGTGAATTCATTTACACACTTTTCCTGAAGATAGAAGAGTTTGTTGAATCTGACGTGACATGTTCGTACGAACCCTTAGTACGAACAAAAGTAAGAGAAATTTAGGATAAGAATACGAACATGTTCTTGCATGAGGCCCATTGTGTCTTGTTTGTCTCCTTGAAAAGTTGTTTCTCTGGCGAGTACATTTTCTGCTGCTTCGTCAGGGTTTTTCATTTGTTTTCTTTTTACTCTGAGTATCTCAGACTTCACACCAAGAAGGTTGCAGAATCACCTCTGAAGCCTAATGTGTGGAGTTTACATGTTCTCTCCCACTTTCCACTGACTGAAAACATGCATGTTATGATAAATATAACTCTAAATTATCCTTAAGTGCGAGTGAGAGACTACTGTATATGTTTGCCTCTATGTGTCCCTGTCAGGACTTGGGTTTACCGCAAATCAGTCCCTCACATAGACTGCTGGAGTGTACGTGAAGGTTTCGTGTTACAGAACCGACTTGACCTATAAAAATAAACTGAATTAAAATAAAACTACAGCTACTTGTGTTGTTTATTAAATGACACACCTGAGCCTTCTCCTCCAGGGATTTCAGATCATTCAGCAGGTGTTCCACTCTGGCCACACAGTCTCCGGTGTCAGACAGGTTCTTCAGGATGTCCATCGAAGTGTCAAGACACACTTTGACCTAAACAAGCAAAGACAGAACAGAGACAAAGAAACGTCCCATTCGTTTATTGACATATTCATATGGAAAAATAATAGTGAGTGTGATCCTTTTAAAACTGGATGAAAAGGGTTGGAGGACAGAGGCAGACGGTTTCACAGAGCTACCTCTCTGAAGTCCTGCTCAAAGTGACGCAGCTGAAGGCATTGCTCCAGTTTCAGGTGGTGTTTGATCCAAAACTGTTCAAACGCATTCTCTGTCTCATCCAGCTGGGCCAGGAGTCTGAAACACACAGCAGCAACAATATGATCTAAAGCCTCAGAAACACACAATCTGATTCATGACAAACTATTAAAAAAAAGGAAGCTTAGGTGTGAATCACCGTTCCACGGTGGTCTGGTTCTCCAACTCATCTGGGTTCAGTTCATGGTTCTCTGATCTGGCTGCCTGATCCTTGATACAAGTAAACAAGGTGCTGCCTTGTCTCAGAGCGAGCTTCAGTTCATCCTGATTCACACACAAAGTACAGGAGGGAAAACATTACCATCCGTCAAATCCTCAATCCATCCATCCATGCATACATAAATACACAAATACTGTTAAATCTTTTTGAAAATAAAAATTCTTGTCAAAATGTCTCATATCAGCCAACAGAACCAAAAGATTTCAAATGTTTCTTTATTTGACCACTACAGTCGTTTCCCAATATCAACCTATAATTAGATTTCTTTATGACTTTGCTAGTAAAGTTATCACAATCCAAAGTTAAGTGTAACTTGGGTGTGGTGTTCCCTACTACTATGTGGGGACCATTTTTGGCATACACACCAACTTGTGGGGACCAACTGGTACTTGTTTGGTTTTGAACTTATGGGGACCTAAGCTAAGTCCCCATGGGGGGAAATGCCGTTAGTAGATCAGGGGTTTAGGACTAAGGTGTGCATTTAGCTTAGGTTAGGTTTAGGGTCAGGTACGAGGTTAGGTTTAGAGGTAAGGGGTCAGGGTTACACTATAGAAAATGATGATGATGATGCCTTTATTGTCATTGTACAGAGCACAATGAAATTACATTTAAGAACACTCATTCAATAAGACACACACGTGACAAAAACATGAGGGAACTGGTGATCAGGTCATGCAACAACCAGCAGGGGTCGCGCTACCTTTAAAAAAGAAAAACTAAATACCACAGAAGGTTAGATGAGGAAAAAACATCATATCATATCAACAAAAGGTGACACACTATGGTGCTTATAAAAATGAAAACAATGGAAGTCAATGCAATGTCCCCACTGGACAACACGTGTGTGTGAGTGTGTGCGTGCGTGTGTGTATTGTACTCCTGTACCTTGAGGTTATTGTGTTTTTCAGTGTGCGCTGTCAGCAGGTCTTTGGTGCTCTGGACGTCGTTAGGAAGCTCAGTTTCTGCCAGCTCCGCTCCAAACTTCTGCAGCATCTGTGCCATGCTTTTCACCGTCAAGGCAAAGTTTTCTATGGCCTGATGAAAGAAACAGATGGTTACTGTGGAATGTTAACATTCTTATGGTTGCTAAAAAGGAAATATGGTGAAGCTGTCTGCTGTGAGAGACACAGTTTGAGCAAGAAATGTGAAGACTTAGAGGAACATTTTAGGTGGAATAATGTTCAACCTCTGGGCCTGCTTGAGGTCTCAGAGGTCTACGACCTGCAGAAACTTAAGAAGAATTCAGGCGTCTAACGTCTGGACATGCTAAAGCTCCTTGTGTTGGTCCAGCTATGTTTCAAGCATGTAACATCAGCTGATCAGCTGTGTGCTGGGTTTGTCTCTGGTTACAGTCTTGAGTTCAACACTTTACTCAGCTGATAATGGTGCTAGTGGTTGTTTTCTTAACATTCTGTTTACTGGCAGCACAATGGATCAGTGGTTAGCACTGGTGCCTCACAGCAAAAAGGTCCTGAGTTTCAACCCGGGGGCTTTAAGTGTGTGGTTTAAATGTTCTCCTCTTGCTTGCGTACATGTTCCCCAGGTACTCCAGTTTCCTCCCACAGACCAAAAACATTACACAGTAGGTTTCCTTCCAGCCCAGGCCTCCCTTGCAAAACAGATCTGTGATCTCAGTGGGATTTGCCTGGTTAAATAAAGGTTAATAAATGGAGTTTTTGTTTTCTTTTTTACATGTCAGCCATTAACAACAAACTACTACTACTTTATTTGTTAAGCACATTAAATGAACTACAGCTGCAACAAAGTGCTGTACATATAAAATCAAAAAACATAAAATAATACACAAAACATAGAATAAAAATAATTCAATCTATAAAACAAATAAATAAAATAAGAGTAAACAAACTAAAACAAGTAGCCAAAAAGAAATCTAAATTGAGGTCAGATTTTAAAATGAGCAAACTTGGAGCATATTGTATTTACTCCAATAAGTTAAAGTGTATGAGCATTTTACACTGGAGCTGCAGAAAGGACAGAAGCACACCTATAAAGTTACTTTGTTGGAGTTTGGATGCACAAAAATCAGCGTTTCTAAGAGCACAGAGTGACAGAAACAATATTATGATGATTGAATTAAGTAAATAAGTGTAACGAGTTAATGAAAGAATTAGGGCTGAAACGATTCCTCGAATAATTCGAGTAATTCGATTACAAAAACTCCTCAAGGCAAATTATCTGCCTCTAAGCTTCGTTAAAATACATACTGTCATAATCAGCGCGCTTTTCTCAGCCAGAATGTTATTTGTGTTACACACAATGCTATGACGTTAGCGCTTCCGCTAACAGTTACACTGTCGACGCGTGTGTGCTTGCTAAGCGCTATATTTAGCTTTAGAAGAAGACGAAGAGTGCCGAAATGAAGCACTCAGAAAATGACTAATTCTAAAAAGTACGGAAACATTTAAAACTAAACAGAAAAGACAACAACGCGCAACACGCTTCACATCCGCCATGTTTCTGCACCGGAACAAAAAAAGCTGCTGCAAGTACCGAACACAGCTGGAGTTAACAGGTATCGTTCACGTTCCCTTTGATTACCTAAATCTGTGATAATCTGTCATGTTACACATGCACAAGGAGGAGGTGTATTTTGGCTAACATTATTTGTGCTGACCAATCATGGTGACCTGGCAGGCTTTTATTAAACGGTGTGTAAGTTGTGTGATTAAAAACAATACTTACTGTAAGTTTGTCAGATTAAAATAAAAGCACAGCAACATCGACAGCTTGAGCTGAAACACGTTTATTTATTGATATGCTTTTATCTTAATTTAAATGATACTTGGAGTGAATATTTCAAGTTTAAAAGTGTTCATAGAAGATAGTTCAATTTTTTCAATTATTTGCTGCTGCTTTTTATGATTTTAGCCTTCATCACTACTGCCATATTTGTTTGTAGCTAAGCTGTCAAGACTAAATCTTTTATTGTCTAAATGGGAGCCCTGCATCAACCTAATAACAGTCTTAAAAAAATATGATTTTTTTGTTACAATTAACAAGTGAACTCTACAAAAAAGACATTCAGTTTTCCAATCCATAACAATAAATTTACAGCAGTTAGATGTTTCAGTGATGGTTAAAAATGATTCAATGACAGAGTGCTTTTAATTAATGCCTCCTCAAACCTAACACACATAAATACAAGTAACTTGAGCTTAAAATGCTTAAATTAATACAACTGGTATTGTAATTTTACTTTGATTGCAGCAGGGTCATCAGCAGGTGTAGATTATCCCTTCACAAAATTAAATAACTGTATTTCTCACAAAATAAGCCTAAGTAATTACTGCAGAACATGACAATTTTTTATATCCAATTACTAAATTAATCATCAGAATAATCAATAGATTAATTGATTACTAAAATAATAGTTAGCTGCAGCCCTAGAAGGAATGCATCACTGCTGCTGCTGCCTGAAATAATAAAGTTTTCAACATTGCCCTGTTTATGTTACAAAAAACTTTTTTTATTGAGTTTAAGATTAAATTAAAAGTTAAACCATTAAGTTCATCACAATCTACTGTACATGGGCCATTTATTTTTGGAGGTATATTGTTATTAAATTCTTGTATGTTATGAAAGACAGAAACTGTTATAAACAGAATAAACAAAATACTCAAACTGTAAAAATGTTTCCAGAAATAAAAATGCAAAAAATGATAACTGGTATTAAACAGCATCTTTTAGATCAGAACTCTTGTTAATTTTTTGTAGATTTCGGGTTTTCCCTTCAAAGTCTTTAAAATGTTAACTTGCATTAAAATTTTGCAATCATGTTAGGGATGAATTAGGGAGTATATCCCTGGACCCACTTAGAACTGTTCCACTCCACAGCTGCTGGTTAACATGAACAGGTGTTCCTCATGGCTGTCAGCAGATGTCAGCAGGTACGAGGTAGACTGGTATTCATTTTCAAATTAATTATATTTCTAACTGTTTTAACTGGACGAACTTATTTCTAAAGATAAAAATAATATCAAAGACAAAATTATTTAATTTGGCATGTGGCCGCCGGCATGCTGGGGGTTCCCGGGGTCTGGGGCTGGGCGCTGGGGTGTGTGCCGGCCTGGCCTGGTGACTGCTTGCTGGGGCTCGGGGCCTCTGGACCTGTCGGGCTTTGRCCTGGAGGGGGTGCGCCCTGGGGGCCCGGACCTCTCTCTGGTATGGCGGGTGCCGGTGGGGCCCATGAGTTTGTCGCTGCTGGCCCCGGGGGCTGTGTGTGTGGTCGCTGGGGGGACTCTCCCAGTTCTCCCCTATGGTCTGATCTGGGGGCTGGATGGGCAGATCTTCCCATGCGGGTGCCCCTTGGGGCTCTGCGCTCGGGATTCCTCTCGGGCCCTTGGGCTCTGGTCTTCCCTATGTCTGCCTCGTGTCTTGGGGGTTGGGTCTCCAGTCCTCCACAGTCACTATTAAATATTCCATTGGAGACATCTTGTATATACACACATGTTCACAACCGCTCACAAACAGGTGCTCTGATCTGGGGGGTTCTGACTGGTCACTGAGTGTGTATATATGTCTATGTGTATATAGTGACAATATTTATGAATGTAGGTATGTATATCTTTATATATGTATGGGTATGAGTATATATTTAGATATGCCCTCCATGTATTTATCCATTTATTTTTCAGGTGAGCGGACAGATGTTGGGTGTGTGGTCCTGTGTTTTGTTGGTGTATATTTAATATACTTCTAATCGCTATTTCAATCTTTCTATCTTTCTAATTACTTCTCTCTCTGTTTTTCTCAAAAAAAGAAAAAAATTGGTATGTGAATGTTTGTAAATGGGTGGGGAGAATTAGAAAACTGCACAAGGGGCACCACCTGAAATCTTGCCTAGAGCACCAGTTTACCTGTTGAATCCCTGCTTTGTAATGTGATGAGTGGATCAATCATCAGTGGTTGAGCAGAAATGTTCTTTATGTCAGCTTCAGTCCTGGATATTTACTTACTGTTCGATGGTGGATCCACTGACTGTGAGAGTACTCCAGACTTCCTCCCAGTTCCCGGGTCAGCTGTTCCTTATCCACATAGCTGTGTAGTTCTGACAGAGAGTTCAGCATAACGATCTAGAGAAAAACACATTCTTTTACTGTATTTCCATGATGACCTACATCATTTAAAGGTAATTCATTTAGCTTGAAATAAAGCTTTATTTCGTGAAAAACACTTTGGATTCATTGGTTTTATACATAAAGCTAAGTCAAACATATTTTATGATGCAATACAATTGAACAAAAACTATTATTTATTTTCTTGTAATCCTATTTATTTGCAATCTATGATATTTTTTTGAATACTTTGTGCTGTTCGTGTCGTTCGTATAGCCAAACATTCAGCTCTTTCATGCGATAGTTTCGAAAGGGTTTGTAACTTTTATATATTTCAAATGATTTAAAGGGCATACATCATTTTTACACATGTTTGCCTTCAATTGTTTAAAGAGGATCACTTTTAATAGCAATATTTATTGCATTTATAAAAAAGTGTAAAAGAACACGAGAACATAGCATCTCCTGGCATCTATCAAAAATAAGAGAGAAACAAATATCTCAAAAACTTATACAAACTTATACATTTACAGTTAAATACATTGCCCAACATGGTAGGTTGTTTGTTACTTCAATATTAGACATCTGTTTAACTGTAGTTTATTTTCTGTGTTGTAAACTGCGTATCTAGAAAATGTGTTTTTCCCACATGAGTGTTCAGGAGAGATTAGCTTTATGCTTTTGACTGTATATTAGCAGCTAATTAGCACAACACTACTGTTTATTTCATGCATAATTTGGACAAATATTGATATGTTAATGACACTAGTGTTTTAAAGGAGTGGTTTACATTATATTCAAGAAATGGGGAGTAGCGAGGGATTGGTGGAGTACGGGAGCTCATCTTTGCTTGGAAGTAAGAAAGGGGGGCTTTGAGATAAATGGGTTGGGAACCACTGCCATAAGTTTTAATGACATACAGATTTATTTGTCTGATTGTACATCAAAAGTTTGAACGCATATTAATTCATTCTGGAAGAGTGATGTTGTGAGTCATCAGTTAAAACAGTTTGAAGCCCACATAAATACTTTCCTGAAGTCCCAGGGTCTGAGCTCCTTCCAAACCTTTTAATCCTAGTGACAAACCTGCTGCACTGTTGTTGTTTTGTTTATCTCTGTACTTTAATAAAGTTTTTTATCTCTCACTTGATAAAACACACAAGGCTCTTCCACGTTTGCCTCATGATGCAGTTGTTTAACTCATTCAGCTTTAAGTATGTAGCTTTTGTTCACTCATAAAGTTCATTTACTTAAGTAGAAACGTGTTTGAGTTCATTACCTTCATTTTAAAGTCATCCTTGTGCAGCCTCAGCCCGATGTCTGATATCGCCCTCTGGAAGAATCTGGACGGTCTCAGCACCAACACCAGCTGAAGATTTCCTGGAAATGCTCCCTAGAAAAACAACATGAACTTCCTGTACACTTAAAACTCATCTCAACCTTCTGATTATTTGTTTCCCATTTTAAATTGATTTACATTTGTACTGGCATTTATTAAGTCTGCTTTACAGCCGTTTATACTGTATAACAAGATCTGACAAACAAGAGGAAAAGCATCTTTTAAAGAAAATAAGATTATCTGTATTATTCCCTGAAAGCAGCATGGAGATGGGTTTATTCTCTGCCACTACTTGGTGACATTCACATGAGCAATGAACTGAATGTAACGTTCATGGTGACTGGATAACAAACTTCTCAGACAACTTACAGCGATCCTCGATAGAGAGGCCTTCACTGAGCTCCATTTGTCTTTTCGCCGATCAATGATGATGATGAAGCCAATGCTGGCAGCATCCAAGCTGGACATAGGAGGAAGAGAAGACTGCTTAATGGACTGTAGAGACGGATAACTGTCTAATGGAACTGGTTGTCTGATAATGTGAAGATGAAGGATAAAAAAATTAAAGCTAAACAACATCTTACAAACTTTTTACATTGTGTTGTAACTTCACTCTTTGTGTTGCAAAGTTCAAAAATATAATATGGACCAGATACAGCTGGTAAAATAAGTATTGAACACGTCACCATTTTTCTCAGTAAATATATTACTAGAGGTGCTAATGACATGAAATTTTCACCAGATGT